TAAGCCAAAATCATCACAATTAAAAGAACCAAAGACTTAAACTACTTCAGTCTGTGTGCATTGAATTTATTTAATACACGAGTTTCACAATTTGAGTTGAATTACTGAAATAAATGAACTTTTCCACGACATTCTAATTTATTGAGATGCACCTGTATTATTGCAAGAAGAGGTGCTTGCTCAGGTCACTTCCTTGCAGCTCATATCAATCAACATGGTGAATTTGCATTCAAGTTTACAAACTTGAATCTAATGAGAAACTGTGTGGGAAACTAACACCTCTTGTAAAATTCCTGATTATACGCTTTCTATAGAGACGGAATTCGCCGTCTAATTTGCTCCTGAGCAAGCGATAAAGCTGCTGAATTATTCTGAATAGACCTTATATAGGAATGCCGTGATAGGCGTCGTATTCCTACAGGTAGATGTTCAGCTGATGCAAGCTTGACTCACGAGACCTGCCAGAACTAGCGCTATACACTTCATTTTAGTTTGTGCCAACTCTGGGTTTTAGCACTATGAAAGTGGCTTTAAGTGATGTTCATCGCCATAATAACTTATGCTCCACAGCTAAACACATTTGCTAAGGCTGTGCAAATTTGTTTAAATTCTTCATATTTTTCAACGTTTAAAAGGGGTCATATGATGCTTTTTTAAAGATCATTATTTTTGTTCTGTTGTAAGTAATCTTAAAGATTCCTAAATGCATCTACTTTCGGAAGGCCAAATAAAGTGCTTTTGCTTTCGCCTAGAAACACACAGCGTCTCCCAGACATGGCTGCTTCAACACTAACTGCGGTTACTGAAACCACGCCTTCTTTCTTTGTGTGAACATTTGGGCGGCATTATGCAAATATTTCCACATAGTGAGGTAGATATGTGGGGGCGTGTTAGAACGAGCCGTTTTAGGGGGGCGTGGCAGAGTCTTATCTTTGATAAAGAATATCTCTTTGGTTTTGAGACTTTAGTCTTTGCAACTTCAGGGATCTTATCTATGCACAATCAGCTTGTAACACTCCAAAGAGAAAGGAAAACTTGAAATCGCATCATATGACCCCTTTAATCTTTGGCAATGAATCGCACTGACTCTGTCACGAGAAGTGAATCACAGTTTCAAGGCATGTGATTGGCTGTTCATTACTGATGTCACACTTTTATGTGTATGTGCTTCATAAACTCAGGATGAAAGCCTGAGTTGACAGAAAAAACTGATGATCAGTGTCATGGTTCCAACAAAGCCAGATTGGATTGGTTTGGTTTTGTCGGTTCAAAACTAATCCTGTAACCCTGAGTTTGTTCAGCCACCATCATGGTACAAGCCCCTGAACAAGAGAGCTGTCCTGGTATATCTTGCCAGGTATAACCATTCAGTTGAAGCATCCTCATACTGATGTGGCTGAGCTGTTAAAGCCACATACAGAAATTTCAAAGCCAAGGGTTTGTCTAATCCTGCTTCTGAAAGCCACCTTCCAGCAGAGTTTAGCTCTAGTCCCAATTAAACACACCTGAAACAGCTAAATCAAGGTCTCCAGGATCACTAGAAACTTCCAGTTAGCAGGATTGGATACCCCTGATATATAGTAAGCAGAAGCTCGACTCCAAGAAATTGTTTGCAAAGGAATGATGAAATCAGATGTTTATCTATATACAATTTTTATTGGCAAGTTTGTATGAATATGTTCTGCTAAAACTTTCATCAGAATCTCTATTCATCAGTGTATTGGTTCTGTGTTTTTGAGTCATTGATCAGTTTCTCTGTTTTCTCTGTCAGGTATCATATCTCTGTTGGTAAAGCATCAATGTAATGCAGTTTAAGTTGGTGTACATAAAAAGTTTAAGTCATATATTATAATATAAGCCGTATACATCTATGACACTCTGTATTGCTCCATATTCATCTCTAGCTCCCCTCTACTGTAAGATCTGACCCAGTTTACTATGAAGTTTAACTTGCAGGCATGGATTTAATGAGTAATTATATAAATTAATTTATTTTTCATTCATAGCTCTTCCTTGAGTTAGGCAAAGACTGGAAGTTAAACTGCACGTGTGATCCAAATAATACCTTTGGCTGTGTGTGACTTTATGAACTGGTTAGTGATGCATGACTGCATAAGTGGGTGCCTGGATGCAAATGAATCATAATGTGATGTGTTTGTGTGTATATTAAATGTGTTTGTTGTCTATAGGACACTAAAACTGTATGAAAACATTGGAGTCCAGCTATATTCCTGTTGTTACATAGCAATACTGCTGATGCACTCAGCGTACACACACCTGCACATTCAGCAACATACTCAGCTAACCCACTCACCTTCTTGTCATTGCTCTCTATCTCTCTCAGTCCCTATCTATCTCCCTCACCTGTGCTTTCTCTTTCTCTCTGTGCTGGAAAAACACTGGAAAAGCACAGCAGTTGACAGCTGTATCCTTTTTAGCCAATCAGAACTCTCTCATAATACCCGGTGCTCAAACTCTGAGCACTCTGTACAATATCTGCCCCACAACAAGCAGCTCGAACGTGCTCTCTCTCTCTCTCTCTCTTCTTCTCTGGCTAGCTTGTTCTCTCTCCTGCCAGAATGCCTGTATACTACATGTGACAGGCTGCATTACAGACTGCAGATTTATACAGGCACAGCCGGGGCAGCCCGGGGGCCTGCAGCCAATTGAGCCACTCACACTTACTCAGATCTTCCTCTGAAAGAGAGAGAGAGATGGTACATGCCCTTTGCAGGCTACTATGATGAAGATGAAATTGAAAGTGCAGTGGTGATGATTTCAGGTCACAACTTAAGGTTTTCTCTCCTTTTATATCACATGTGTGATGTGTAAATGTGCAAGACAGATCTGAAGGCAAAGTGTGAAAATTTTTTTACAAATAAAAAGAGAATATAACTGTTTCCCCTATGTGGGTTGCAGACCTGTTGTAAAAGAAAAAAAAAACAATCAGAAATGCAAACAATCATATATTGTGATATACGAATGTGAAAATTCATTGTATTTTGGCACAGATTCATCTGTCATTTTTACAGACTTGGTTTGTGTAGTATAGAAGTCTTATTTGTGAGAGAATAACAGTGTTATTTTAGTACTATATTTTGTTATGGTATTTATTATTTTGACATTCAGTTTTTATTTTAATTTTAGTTCAAGTTGTAGTAATTTTGACATGTGCTTTTGTTATTTTTAGATTTTTTTTATATTTCTATTTAGCTTTTTTAATTCAGTTTTTGTAATTTTAGTACTTCAACTCATTTTTCAGTTAATTGCCAAGGCAGCATTTCTAATTTTCTAAAGTTTTTTTTATTTCATAATATATATATTTTTTTTTTATAAGTTATATAATATTTCTTTTTTTATTTCAGCTTTACTTCAATTAACAAAAATTATTTTCAGTATTTTTTGTAACAAATCACAATCATTTTTACATTTTAATTAGTTTAGTCTAGTAATCACAAACAATTAGAAATGTCATTGGAAAGTCTTATAAATTTTGTTCAAAAACTGAACCTTGTATAGAGCGTAAAAATGAAGGTCCTAATGAAATTTTTATGGAAATGTGCTTGCAATCCCACTTATGATCATAGGGGAATATAAACCGCTTATGTCCAGGGGGAGAAGGGACTTGTGCATTTGAGCCTCTATTATGGACAATTAGTCCAAACTGTCTTCCCTTTTCCACATTAAAAAAGAACAACATGAACAGCACTAGGGAATGCAGAGTATAGGTGTAGAGAATGCTGAGTAAAGCACTTTCATGAAGTGTCTGTGCTGTGTTAATTGTTTCAGTTCAGTTTGGACGGTTGGGATTTTATGTTATCAGAAAGAATGGAATGAATTTGCATACTTTTGAAAATGCAAACTACTAACCAAGTGCCTGCATTTTGCTCTTTTACAGATAACAGGGACGGGGGAAAGCTTTAAAATCCCTCCCCCTGCTCCTAATTGGTCCTCTATACCATGAGCTTTGGCTCCGCCCAGGATGTGGCGGTGGAGAATTTCCTGCGTGACATAGAGAGGCGGGGCCAGTGGCTGCACTGCGCTGTTATTGGCTGTGAGGAGGAGCATTCCTGTGGCGACATGAACCTTTTGTACCGCAAAAGTCGACTGGATTGGAGACACAGAGATCAGGAGGGCAAGAAAAGGTAAAAGAAAGATCCGTGAGCCTGCTGTAGGAGAATGAAGAAATTTGTGAGGAGAGAGAAGGATAGAAGAGGTTACAGAGATGCCTTCCAGAGCTTAAATGAAAGGTAAAGAAAAGAAGGGAGCAAGGGGAAGATTAGTAAAATCCTAAATCTATAGGGAAGGTGAGAAAAAGGTGAAACTGAAGGAGAAGAGTAGAATGAAAAAGATTATAAAGGAGAAGAGAGAGGGAGCGAGATGGATGAATATAACACGATTAAGAGTAGTCTTAGCTCTGAAATAGAGACATTTGTCTTTCATCATTTATGCAAAGCATCCAAATCATCTTTCTGCCTAAGACACAGAAAGACTGGAGAGAGAGATAGCATGATATATATTCCAGCACTATCTGGCCCTCTGGTGTCCCAGTAGATCAGCCGACATGAAGTGTAGTCAAAAACAGCTGGAGCTTTTAAAAATTAGACTTCTTGGTCTAATTATCTTACAAATAAATGCAATTATCCATATTTATTCAGGTTCTTATTTTTAATTCATTAACTTTAATTAGAAATAAGTTACTTTTTAATTAATTGTTCCAATATACATACAATTTGACTGTCATTAATAGAAAAAAATCACATCTTATGGCCAATAACAAACAAATGGCAGATAACAACAAATGGCTTTCAATAATATTTTGTCTGAATAAATTAAAATAAAACACTAAAAAAGACTTGATGTAAATGCTACAAGTGAATTTAGGCATCAAAATATATTAAAAATAAATATACATTTTGAGATTCACTCAATATTAGTTAAAGTTTCATGAACTGATCATGAACAATAAAATATACAATTATCGGCTGATACCGATAACTTAAAATCTCTTAATATCGGCCTAAAATCAATATAATCTGATTCCAGCAACTTAAAGGGGTCATATGATGTGATTTCAAGTTTTCCTTTCTCTTTGGAGTGTTACAAGCTGATTGTGCATAGATAAGATCCCTGAAGTTGCAAAGACTAAAGTCTCAAAACCAAAGAGATATTGCTTGTGTACTGCACACATACCAGCTTCATCACTGTGTCTGTCACACGACTCTGTTCCCCTTTCGGGCTCTGTCTTTACATTTATTTTGAAAACTGAAGCTCGCGATTATGGTAAGGGGCGTTACATTTCCGACGAGTGCTTGCGGTGTTCGGCCAATCACAATGCACTGGGTCAGCTGGCCAATCAGAGCAGACTGCACTTGTCGGAAGGAGGGACTTTGTAGAAAACGAAGCGTTTGAGAGAGGCGGGGCATAGAGGACCTACAATAATGTACAGTATTTGAAAAATAATGTGTTTTTTGAACATTAAAGCATGTCAACATATTCTGTTACACCAAATACACAAAATAATGATCTTTAATGATCTTTAAAATATCTAATATTTAATATATAACTGATATGGTATCAATATCTATTTATCTAAGTGAACGTGTGTACGTCTGTAGCGTCATGTTTCACTCTAATTCCTTTTCCTAAATCAAGCATTTTTTCTTCTTCTTAAGACATCTTACGTTTCTTATGTAAGTCTGTATATTACCGTATTTTGCAATGCTTTGTTTACATCTTCAACTTTTTTTGAGTGCTTTTTTCTTTCTGTAATTCTTCTCAGCTGGACAGGATTGATTGCAATCTTTATGCCTCTTGGCATTACTCTCTCTCTCTCTCTCTCTCTCTCCATCTCTCCATCTCTGTGTTTCTGGATGAAGAGGAGAATGCATTTAGATGATTGTCTCTGACACCTGTGCAAATGGACATCAAAGCGCTTTTCATCCACTCTGTGTTCTACATTCATGACACACGCAGAACCCACAACACATCCTGAGCTCAGACAAAAATGCTGCTTTTAGCCGCCTTTGTATAAACTGCTCACACATGCAGACATACATGTGCTGTCACATCAAACATGCTTTTATACATGAACAATATCTTTAAGCAGTTATCTCGGCTCCTTTCACCTCTTTCTTTCCCCTTCACAGACGTAAAGAGATTCACAAGAGGTCACCCACGCATGCTCGCTCTCTGTCTGGAGGATCTGTCCACTTCCTCTCTCGTCCTCCCACTCAATCCCTCCATCCTCCTCCTCTCTGCTGCTGAATGCAGATGATTCTCATTCATTTATCCCTCCCTCCCTGTTCCCCTCTCTCTTTTCCCACATCTTGCTGTCAATCTTGAGTGGCAACAAATGAATGGATGAATCAAGTGAGTCACTTAGCATGTTAGCAAACTGATTCTGCACACTAATGTGCCTTTAAACTCAAGACTCAGATAAAGCCATGTAAGAGCCACATGTTGTGCAGCCTGAAGCAAAACAACAGAAATAGAGCAGACATGAATTGCTTTAGTTCCCTGTACCTTTGAGCTTTCATTCTGCCATGTGAAGCATCATGTCAAATGAGACCGAACAACCTAAAATCCTCAGTTATGAGAACAAACCTCATATGACTCTCAGTCTGTTCCCTCTCATTTTGCTTTCAGGCACAGATTTTCTTTCAAACCTTTTTTGGCACAAATGGGTTACAAACCATAGCATTTATTTTCTGCACTGATTAGTGTAAAACTTTAGTATACACTACCATTCAAATGTTTTAGGCAAGTAGGTTATAAAAAAATTATATAAAATGAACAAATTAATACTATATACATATAAATTAATACATTCATTCAAGGTTGAATTACAATCACAATGTTACAAGACTTTTCAAATAAATAAAAGTTTATAAGTGAAGAATGTATCACTGTTTCCTCAAAAATATTAAGCAGCACAAATGTTTGCACAAACATTGATAATAATAAGAAAAGCTTCTTGAGCAGCAAATCAGCATATTAGAATGATTTCTGAAGGATCATGTGGCACTTAAGACTGGAGTAATGATTCTGAAAATGTAGTTTTACCATCATAGGAATAAATTACATTAAAAAATAATATACATTCATATATTAATATATATGTTATATATTACAATTTAAAACAACTACTTTAAATTGTAATAACATCCCACAATATTACTGTTTTTACTTTGATCAAATAAAAGCAGCCTTGGTGAAGATAAGAGACTTCTTCAAAAGCATTTCTATCATGACAACTCTGAAGATTTTAGCATGGTAGTGGACATGACAATGTTAATGTATTCGTTCTTGGTGGAATAGATCTGCTACACTGCTAAATTGCTGCTGCTGTTGGTTATTGCTGTTGTTGTAGATTATTGCTGCTGCTGCTGCAAAGCAAGTACAGGAACTTGCTACTGCCAATACATAGGCCGATACGGTGCTGTGAGTATTTTTGTCATACTGCTGCTGCACAAATAGCATATACAGTATAATAACCCGTAGCAGATCTATACAGGTGGAGCTGGGGAAGGTGGAGGTTTTCAGAGGATCTCTGAAATGCTAACCAGCCATTTAAATGTAAAGCAGCAAGCTTATTGGCTGCGTTTGCAACATGAACCAATCAGCTGGTGCCAAGTAGTTTAACGCTGTGAATATCATCACTTTGCATTAGGGACCCATCAGCTTGCGCCATCTAGAGTTTCATGACAGAACTTGGCATTTAAAAATCTTACCGACCCCAAACCTTTGAACAGTAGAGTACCATCATCAGGGGAAGAACTGACACATATGTAGTTAACACACTGATTTTGTGTAGAAAACATCCTAAAATAAACATCACACAATGAGAAAGAATAATTCAGTCCAGTGGTTTGTTCTGAATATTTTACTATGGTGTGTGCAGCTAAAACGGCATGTCCTTGACGGATTTTATGATAGGATGTTCAGACTCATCAGACCTTTTTTGTCCAGATTATACCTGGGCGACAGCTGTACTGTGAGATCTCCATGGCCAACTCATACGCTGTGTGCCCTGTCTGCGCATCATATCCCGTGGTGCTGTTCTTTTCTGTTAGTGTGTGTCACACTCTACTAGCTCAGCATCTTCTCTGACTTCTGCCTAACAACAAAGACTCACACACACTGCTGAACAGTGTATTGATGAGTTGCTTCCATCTGGACCTTGTGCACATCAACCTTCATAAAGGTTAGATGAGGGGAGCACAGTGATCTCTAGACAATATTTACACATCTTAAAAGTTAACAGGAAGAAGTTTGTGAATTTTTAATATGACAGTTATTCTCAGAGGAAGAAAAAAATCACAATGGAATGAAAGGAGACTTTTGGTTAAGTATCTTGCTTCCCAGCAACATTTTTTATTAGTTTGTTTGCTTGCTTTGTTTTTTTAATTTTTTTTTTAAATATGAACTCAAACACTAAGTTACATCTTGTAATTTGGTCTTTGGAGTGTTTGTGTTTTAATGCTATCCACATTATTTATATTGCTCTATATTTTTACTGTACTGTATTACATTGTCTCATTTCTGTCTATTTTTATTTCTCCCAAGAAATATTAGAAGAACATCTAGAAAACACTTGATACTTAACTGAAACATAACTGAGAACTCCATAAAGTCACATGAGCTATAAAAAGAGCAGTATCTTTGCAATATCAGTGTCTGTTAAATGGAAAAACATTTCTCTCTCTCTAAATATATCTCTAACTCACCCCATCACCAGAAAACAGCATCAGTGATTAATTTCCCTTTAATTTTTGCTTAGATTGTGAGAACCAAAAGTCCCCACAAGGATATTAAAACCTGAAATTACCTACATTGTGGGAACCACAACAAAACAGCTTAATAAACATATTAAATAACAGAATTGTATTGAAAATGTCTGTGAGGGTATGGTTTAGGGTTAGAAGACAAAAATCATTAACTCAGTATGAAAACAATATAAGCCAATAGAAAGTCCCTATTATAACTGAGATTCCCTTTATATGTGTGTGTGTGTGTGTGTGTGTGTGCGCGCGCATACACGCACATATGCCAGTGTGTGCTCTGAGTTTGTGTGTTTAGAGAAAAAAAAATCAGCAAACAATAAACAAATGACAGGCTAGTTGCCTTGGAAACGGGGAGAGCATGCTAGTAGATTCAGGAGAATCAGAAAAGATGCAGAGAGAGGGATGAAGGGAGAGACATGGCCTGCAGACAGTCTTTTTTTGTGTGAGGGAAGAGAAAAAGCAAGAGATCAAAAGATCAGCTGATTAAACAATGTTTGCAAATATGTCACAAGGAAATTTTAAAGGAATAGGTCAACCATTTTTGCATCAACCATCCCTAAGAATTCCAGACATAAATTTGCGATAAAATGGAAGTAGCAACAGATATTTCTTCCGTATTTTGATGTATGTCCCAGTGTAACAGGTTATCGCAAAAGAAAAAATGTTGGGTGGGCACTTGATTCTATCCATTGGTTGTTGATTGGATTTTGAAATGTGGCTACAACATTTAAGAAAAGAAGGCAAATAAATGTGAGCTTGCAGGAGTGGATTTAAGAGGACTGAATGATTGGAGAAGTCCAGCATACGTCACCAGAGAGAACCCTGTAATATCTTCAGAGGGACATGTTGATCGAACATTACAAGGTCAATAAAAAAAAATTATACTAATAAAAAATTGGACACATACATGGGTGTATATGGATACATGGATGTTCACAATAATATCAATAACTTATATGCATTTAGAAAATAGATAGATTTTTATTTCATACCAACTTTAAGATAATTGAAGATGGAGAAGATGAAAAGAAACAATGAAAGAATAAGAAGAAAGAAGGGGAGCTGAGGAGAATAGAGGAGAAAAGAAGGATGGGAGGGTGAAGGAGGCTGTTGGGTCTCTCGCAGGCTGGCATGAACCGCTTCCTCTCTCATCATTCATCCTGAACTTGTTTGTATGTGTGTGTGTGTGTGTGTGTGTGTGTGTGGTCTGGTGGTTCTGGATAAATGGCAGCTGTGGTGTCAGGCCGTGAGGATGGAGGCAGAGCAGAAAACTTGATCTGGCCTGGTAAATGGAGGTTGATTGAAGAGGTGCTTCACTGCCTGCCTGACTGATGGACTTCAGGCCTGGACGCCCTGTCTTTCTCTCTCTCTCTCTCTCTCAGCTGCAGGAGAGGGTCTTTGTCAAGGCTTTGCCAGTCAAACTGATTGAGCTCTTGACCTCTGTCCTCCATGAGCACTGCAGTCTGTCTGTCAGAGCTTCATACTGACCAGGGATTCACAAAAGCAGCCAAATCCTGTTTGCTTAGATTGTGAGAACCAAAAGTCCCCACAAGGATATTAAAACCTGAAATTACCTACATTGTGGGAACCACAACAAAACAGCTTAATAAACATATTAAATAACAGAATTGTATTGAAAATGTCTGTGAGGGTATGGTTTAGGGTTAGAAGACAAAAATCATTAACTCAGTATGAAAACAATATAAGCCAATAGAAAGTCCCTATTATAACTGAGATATGTGTTTGTGTTTTATTTGTGTAGGTATTGGTCTGTGTGACTGTGCAGTAGTAGGAGAGATGTTTAAACTCCGGAAATGAGAGTGTACAACGGGGGCTACAGACAAAAATGAAATTGACTGTGAGCTATTAATAGAGCCTTTATCAGTAGAAATGAGGAGCGAGAGAAAAGAGGAGAATGTGGGAGGCCTACAGCACAACGAGAAACAAATTTATTATTCTAATCTGATAAAGAATCTCTACAGAGAAATGATTCCTTTTCCCTCAATTTCTGATTCAATTTCTCATTTTCTGATCTTCCCATCTCCCATAGCTCCAATTATAAAGATGCCTCCTCTGCGACGGTTGGGAAGGTTCGGGATCTGGCATCATTTCGGCGTCATTTCCGAATGGGATTTATGACGATGCCGGCGTCCCAGGACCTTTCGCCTCACTCTTGTGCGGCCGCCATGGCCCCACGCTCTCAATCCTGCCATGCTGTGGGCACCGGTGAGGGAGAGGAAATGGAGAATGGATATTATCCAGACTCAGACCCCCAAAACCAGTCAAATACCTCCCGCTGTCCTCCAGCCAAGCCTAAACGCCACCCCAATACTCGTCTCAGCTCCACACCCCAGCAGGAGCATCCTTCCCGGGGGGTTCACGCACCACCTGATACTCCGCCACCTCCACCTCCCAATCACCCACTCAAACACCCAGAGAAGCGGAATGGTTAGTGAGCACAACTCTTGCGACATGGGAAGTCTTTGAGACATGCATAGTTCTAGTCTCATCAATCATCTAGTCAATTTTAAAGTTAGGGATGTGAATCAATTTTAAAAAATTATTCTTGACCTGGGACAATTCTTGTGTAGAGGCAGTTCTCATAAACTGGTGTATTTCTGATGCTTCGAATATAGATAAGGAGCCATCTGACTCACATGTAACATGACTAATCATAGTTGACTTGTTTTTAAGTTCAGTTGTGGATACATCTGAAAAAGATGGTACAACTGATAGAACATGAAACGCATGAACAGTATGATGTTTACTTGATACTAAATGTGTCAAAATAAATGGTTTTAAAAGATTTGTTGCCATGAAGCTTGAACTCAAACTTCAGTGTCTAGTTCTTAAGTATAAACACTTATGATTCATGACTCATAAACCATCCATTGTTCTCTGACAGTATGTTTATGTTAGTCATTCATATATTTTAATTTGAATTATGTAATTGATTTAAATCGAAGATTATTCTGAAGGATGATTACAATACTTAATGAATATTATTTTCCAGCACAGGAAGTTATTTTATTCATAAGATAAAATCTAAGAAAGCAGCATCTCTTGTATTTTAGTATTATTTTGATACAATATGAAAAAGAAAAGGTGATTTAATAATTGCTTTGCACCAAATAATAAATTCAACATGGTTAAAGAAATATGTTGCAAACATTAACATCTCAGTATCTTAAATATTATATTTATACAGTATTTATTTAAAAACAGATTGTCTACATTGGTCACAGAAATTAACACCCCCCAGCCTTAATTAAAATGTATTTGTCTTAATGTCTAAAACTTACATAAATAATAGCCAGATTTGTGTTATGTGTGCTGAGTCATTTGCAAGCCATTTGCTTAAAATTTATTTCAGACTTATTTCCAACTGAATATTCAACAAGAAATAATGTTGGGTTGGTCTAGATTTTATCCATTGATTCAGTTGTGAGGGGGATGGAAGAGTTATAAAAAGTAAGAAACATGATGAAACATCAAATCATAGGGCCAAGAACTATATTAATAAAGTAAAAAGAGTCAGTTTTGATTTAATGTAACCAGAAAGCTGTACACACCTGACCGTTGGTCTCTGTAAAACCTCCTCTCTCTTTGCCTTTGTTTCACTCTTTTTTCACCTTTTGTCTGCCTTTATTTGTTAAACAGCAATGAAGAAATCTGATTCAGGTGAAATGCCAGGACGAAAGGTTCCTCCCTTGAAGCCCAAACGGAGTCCAAGCACACACCTCTCCTTTGACACCCCGCCCCCTCGGGTCCCACCCCCGACCACACCTCATCCCTTCCAGAGCTCTGAACCCTCTCCACGAGGTGAGGGGGGAGATGACGAGCCAGTTTACATTGAAATGGTGGGCCAGGTCTTTACCCGAGAGACTCACAGCGCCCCTACTCCTCACCCGCTCACGCCATCTGCCACAACACCTGATTCTGAATCAGACCATGGAGAGGCCATTTATGAAGAGATGAAGTACCCCCTACCAGACGACGTGGCTCGAGAAGTCCACCGCCGCTTACCACTCAAACACGAGTGCATCAAGTCTGCTAAAGCGTATCCCCCCCCCGACAGCCCCCTGCTCTGGACCTACCCCTCGGTTGGCTTCCGCCGCCCACCCGCCTACGATAGCCTGCGCGGGGGCTCACAGTTGCCATCCTTGCACGCAGACCCCACTAAAACTGGATCTGCAGCCCATGCATTGCAGGCCAAGGCCGGGTTCATTCCCTGGGAGAGCGCAGCTGCCTTAGGGCTCACCGAAGAACAGGCTTACTGGCCCATGCACCGAAAATTATCATTCAGTCATGGGAGCCGAGACACTGAGAGTGAGTAATGGTTTTAGGGATGGTGGAATAAGTATGAGGGATGATTATTGAGGGAATTCTCTTTCTATGGTACTATCGTAGATGTTTTGAATTGTATTTTTCTCTCTAATGCTCTGTAGAGGAAGATGGAGGTGCATGGAATGGCAGTGCAGATGCTCTATTGAGGAGAGAGAGGGATGACCTAGGAGCCATGCGGTGTGGTGGACACTCTGGAATACCTGTGCGGGCAACAGGGAGACACAGCGAGAGCTTGGCTGGGGTGGATGGACCACCAGGGTTGAGAGGACTGATACGAGCGGGACTGCCCTTACCCTGCCAAACCTTCCCAGCGTGCCGCAATGGAGGTGAGATCCAATTTAAATGACATTAGCACAGGCTTTCTGCCATGACTTCAATAGTTAAAACTCTAGATATAGATCAAGTGTGTTTAGGTTGGAGATAAAACATCTGTACACTTACAGTTCATAAGCAACTGATTGGAAAGGTCATTTGTTTATGAGCTGTAAGTTGATGCTAACTCATGCTGTTGGGATCAGTGTGCATTGATTTGTTTGGAAAGCATCAAATGTTATAACAGAATGATCAAATAGCTATAATGTCTTTTAAAATATGGGAAAACCCCAAAATTTAAACCTACTAAAACCATGATGAAAAAAAAATCACAAAGACATGTAACACAGTTAGTTTAGCAACACACAATTTTAGCTTGAAATAGCTAAACATACTGTATGTTATCCTAGCCAACTAGCTGCAGTACCTGTCACAGTTATGAACCATACATTTCTGGACATTTCAGAACCTTATAATTGTATGCCATGATACATTGAGTAAATTCACTAAACACTTGAGCCACTGTATTGCAGTGCACGTCATGCGTTTTATTCACATACCACCCGCACGCAGTCCAACTTAACTAGCACTTTATGCATTACGTTGTGCAATGCACATTTAAATAACGTCAATGTCATTTTTTACAATGCAAACACACCTGCTTTCAATGCAAATGAGGCTCATTATAGAATGCAATGCATTCACAGATGTCAGCACTATTTGCCTGGCGCAATTAATGTTGCGCTATTAGTGGAAAGTAGGGTGGAAAGCAGACTGAATTTCATTAATATCTGTAGAAACAGTTTGTATGCTGCTTCTATTCATCAAGACAGCACTAATCCTTGATGAATAGAGGTGCATCTTGATGTTCAAGATGGCGCCGAGCATGGCAGCCGTGTTGCGAGCTCCGAGAATGAACTCTTCATATTTATTAATACATTAAAATTTTTTCAAAAATTTTATTACAAATTATTTTTATGTATTAGATGATTTATTATTTTTTTATTTTATTATTTAATTATTTAGCTGTGCCCTCAATATACCTTTTTATATTGGCGGTTTTGTTAAATCACTTTAACTAACAAAAAACATTTTCTTAATGACATCATCTTAATGACCATAGACCATGGTCTACACACACTAATGCAGTGCTGAAGAAGGCACATCAACGCCTTTTCTTCCTGAGAAGGCTGAGGAAGTTTGGCATGAGCCCCAGCATCCTCAGAACATTCTACACCTGCACTGTGGAGAGCATCCTGACTGGCTGCATCACTGCCTGGTTTGGAAACAGCACTGCGGGCAACCGCAAAGCTCTGCAAAGGGTCGTGCGAACTGCCCGCCACATTGTTGGAGGTGAGCTTCCCTCCCTCCAGGACATCTACACCAGGCGGTGTATAAGGAAAGCCCGGAGGATCATCAGTGACTCCAGCCACCCATCCCACAGACTGCTCTCTCTGCTGCCCTCAGGAAGACGTCTCCGCAGCATCCGATCCCGCACTAGCCGACTGAGGGATAGCTTTTTCCCTCAAGCTATCAGACTAATGAACAATCAGAACTAATACACCCTACAGCCTACTCCCACAATACGGTAGGCCACACACTGCACTTTAACTCCAACAGTTCAATACTGGACTATACATACACACTGCATTTAAACACAATAATCTATCTGCTACCACTGGATACCATCCAATGCACATCCATGACATTTTGCGTATCCAGTTAATGTATAATCTGTTGCACCTTCGCATATTTTGTGTATATATGTCTACATAATGTAGAATGTGTACATACTGTGTATAAATGTGTATTGCTAACTGCATGTACATACTGTGTATAATGTGTAGTGCTAACTGTAAGTATGTCTAATAGTACACTGTGTGTACTGACTATATGTATGTGCATATTGCACATTGTCATCTGTTGAGGTCTGTATGTTTATATGTAAATTGTTTCTGCACTGTCTGGAGCACGCTCCCAAGAATTTCACTCACCAAGGCACATGTGCTGTGGTGATGTGACAATAAAAGTGACTTTGACTTTGACTTTAATCCATCAAATGATGGTGAAAAGTGTTATAAATCCAGATGGAACTTTTTGCTGAGCCCCGTTTCTGCATTTTAAAGATTGATTTAGGTGGCTGGATTGCAAAGGTGGCATGCAGTCTCTGCATGCAGGTCATCACTCTATTACCTTATTTTCAAAATTCCTTTAAATTAACGATGCTATCAGCAGGCACAATTCCCTTTTTGTGATGTCCTCCTCAGAGTGTTTTCATATACATTTTAACCATATTATTTCTGGTTTCTGTTCTGCAAGATAGAAATAGGAATTTGTTTGTTTTCACAAGTAATTCCACCATTATTTTAGATTTTACTAAAAGTGTGATTTTCTGGGATTATTTTTCCAAAACAATAACTTGGCTGTGTGTTTGTGATCTTTTATAGAGTTGGGTCGCCTTGGCAGGTCTTCCTCCACATCGGGAGTGAGACAAGTGGGTGGTGACGTTCAAAGGCAGAGCAGCCTGCCGGCCAGAGAAGCACTCAACCAGGTAACACATGCCAGCACTATTAAAGCTGTCACTAAATTCACATAAACACACACTCAGAGAGTTATTATACACCTGCAGTGTTATTGTTTCCTCAGCCCTGTTTAAATACAAACTCATCCGGGTACAACCGAGATCACATTAGGAATTGAGCTTATGAAATTACCTTGGACCTGCAGCCCTTTTAACGTGGAACACCAAAGAAGGTATTTTGAAGAATGTTTTAACTGGTTTTGTTTAAACAATGAAAGTTGAAGTTGATTTTCATGGTAGGGACAAAAACCACTGAGACATTTTTCAAAATCTCTTCTTTTGTGTTCCACAGAAGAAATAAAGTCATATGGGTTTGGAAGCACATGAGAATAAGTAAATGAAGAAAGAAATTCCAGACTTTTTGGGGGGTCAGTTATCCCTTTAAAGGGTTAGTTCACCCAAAAATGAAAATTAGCCCATAAATTACTCACCCTCAAGTCATCCTAGGTGTATATGACTTTCTTCTTTCAGACGAATCCAGTCGGAGTTATATTAAAAATTGTCTTTGATCTTTCAAGCTGATTAATGCCACTCCACGGGGGTTGCATGCATCAGTCCAAAAGAAGTTAAATAAAAAGCGCCCATCCATTAAAAAAAAGTGTCTCACACGGCTCCGAGGGGTGAACAAAGGCCTCCTGTAGCGAATCGATGCGTTTTTGTAAGAAAAATATCCATATTCAAAACGTAATAATCACTTTAATGTAGCTTGCGCCAACAGTTGTACAAGGAAGCAGCTCCGGGCTGATGACGTATGAGGTCAGCGCTGCGCATGCGCCAGTGAGTCTCGTTAAAACCAACGTTTGTTTACAGGAGCAAAGGAAGCAAAGTTTCCTTACTTTAGCATTTGTATATGTAGAAATTAACATTAACCAAGATTAAGTTGTCATTAAACGGAAGTAACGATCATATTTTTTTCCTTATTGTCATCCAAGTGGTACATCCAAGTGAATAGGCTTCTCAAATTAGAAAAAAATTAGGACGGCCTTCGTTTTGTCCATCAGGAATTAGATTGGATTGTTGTCATTTGCTCATTGCTGTGAGTGTGAGTCTCATGTGAGTGACAGGTTGCTGAAGGGGATAAATTATTGTATCACACCTGCACCGTTGCAGATGTCATCAGAGAAGAGTTGACGTTATGAGGGGAGGAGACATTAATTGTCATGATTAAAGATTAAGAGCGAATGCAATCTATTAAAAAATAATGATGTGCACAAATAAATAGTTTATAATAAACACTGATGTCAATTCTGATGTGGCTGTAATTAATTCTGTTAAATTATTGATGCATGGATTACTAGAAACTCCATTTAACACTTTTATATTGTAAAAGTGTAACATACACAACATTTTACCATATTTAACTCCATTGCACAGAATTCTACAGGTTCTCCCAAAAAAGGAAAACAAATGCGCATTTTCCATCTGGGCCTGCTTATAGAACCATGGATCCTGTTGCAATGACCTTTAATTCACCTCGTACACCAGCCTGACACTCTGAGAAAACCCCAGACAAGAGTGCATTAGAATATTGTGCTTTTCAGTTCAAAGTATTCAGGGAATACTTTGAAATCGCACAGGCTTGTTCAGCCTCAGTCGGTGTTGATACTGCAGTAATTAATTAAATTCAGTTCAGCTGGTTAACATGCGTAAGTGTAATTGACACCAAGCTTGACAGTTACGGCAGGTGATCTGTAACTAATTTCATTCCGTTTTGTGCCCCTGTGGCTGCTGTTCCAGACAGTCATTAGGTAAATCGCGGAGCCCATTGAGTCACCAGCATCCCCACCCAAACACGTCTGTAGTTGCACTGCACTCCGCTGCAGGGTCAATGAGTGCAGAGAGAAAGGGGGATGAATACAGTGCGGGAGGGAGGCACAGAAATGCAGCAGAGGGAAAGACAGACGGAAAGCGAGAGATAGAGGGAGAAAAATGCAGCACAGAATAGAAAAGAGAGGGAACAGATGCAGCACATGGGCGGAGAAAACAGGTGCAGCAGTAAGAAAGAAGAAGTGTGTTTTTTGTCAGTCTGTGGCAGGCAGACAAACAGTCTACGTGAATGATCAAACTCAAACCTAGTGGCGCTGCCGGTGTCTCTGCGTGTCAGTCGGTGACAGGCTTTGATTCTGCCATCTGACTGTTTCCGTCAGCAGTTTGTTAGAGAGCCATTTTGGGAGTTTAGTTTGTTGAATGTGAGAAAAGTAACAAGGAGAATCCAGAGAGACTGCAAACATGTGAAGCGCTCATGTTTTGCGTGTTAAAAGACAGGGATGTTCCAGTTCCTATAGCTCTAGTGGCGTGTGGGTTGTGTTATAGACAGAGTGGCATGAAACTGGCAACACATAATCTTTCATTTTCAATCTTGTTGGGTGTTAGTTGCTGTACAAGCCTCTGTTCTTTAAACAAAAAATATTACAAATGTGGTGAATATTGGAAAATGTTTTATTAAATAAAATTAAATATTAAATAATTTTAATATTAAATGTTGCCTTGGCAACTAACTGAAATAAAAAAGTTTGAGTTTAAACACTAAAATCACTAAAACATAAATAAAAATAAAACAAAATAAAGCTAAATAGAAATATAAGAAAGAAGAAGTGTGTTTTTTGTCAGTCTGTGGCAGGCAGACAAACAGTCTACGTGAATGATCAAACTCAAACCTAGTGGCGCTGCCGGTGTCTCTGCGTGTCAGTCGGTGACAGGCTTTGATTCTGCCATCTGACTGTTTCCGTCAGCAGTTTGTTAGAGAGCCATTTTGGGAGTTTAGTTTGTTGAATGTGAGAAAAGTAACAAGGAGAATCCAGAGAGACTGCAAACATGTGAAGCGCTCATGTTTTGCGTGTTAAAAGACAGGGATGTTCCAGTTCCTATAGCTCTAGTGGCGTGTGGGTTGTGTTATAGACAGAGTGGCATGAAACTGGCAACACATAATCTTTCATTTTCAATCTTGTTGGGTGTTAGTTGCTGTACAAGCCTCTGTTCTTTTCCCCTGGTGAGAAGAAGCAACGGTCAGTCTGATCGATTACTAGCGTCTGACTCAGTGTAAACCGATCTGATTCACTGTTTAGATGCTTGAACGGGTTTGGGTCAATAAAATATAAACTAATTAAATAAATACTACATTATTTCTTCTTTCTACTTTCATCAAATAATTTAAATAAAACGCTGATTATTAAAATTACAGAATAGTCCTGGAATCCATAAGGACCATCGATGACTGATCGCTCATACAAATGTAAACATTATCCATGCATTTCTAAAAACGCACCAATAATCACCATAAATATCGTCCAACTGTGTGTGTAAATTAATTAAAATATGTGTTTTAGGTAAGCAATACTTGCCACTATGAGTCGGTCCACTTGGTCTCCTTACAATATTACATTGCAATCAAACGATTTATGCTTTAATAACAAAAAATGGTCACTTCACCTCTGATTCTCCGGATACAGTCACTCTCCAGGAGATGTCTTTTACTTCAGCTTTTCCTGGATTGCATTAGATGTAGCAGACAGTCCAGTGTGAACAATGTGCTCCGCTGGTGTGTGTGTGTGTGTGTGTGTGTGTGTGTGTGTGTGTGTAGCACAGAGATTGACTCTGTGAGCTGATATGACCTTCCCTCTCAAGAGCAGGGGGATGGGATGGATGCTGTGAGTTGGCGCTATGCCGCTATCTGCTGGCGTTCTTTGGTATAGCAAAGAGCACACACCCAGAGTCAAAAAAAAAAACATTCCAAGTGGAAAATGTCTATTACAGATGGGTAACTTTGTTAGTGGTTTAAGTAGATTTGTAGGAACTATAGTGTGACATGAGCAATTGCTGATGTAACTGCCATGACTTGTTTTCTAACCATTTGAATCTTAAAATCAATTACTGTAACTTTTTTTCCTCTAGGAAATATCTGGGATACTCCTAGCTAAATTTTATTTTGTAATATTGTTGTTGTTAAAATATAAAACAAGCATAAAAAAAATCTTTAGAATTTTCAGTACTTACATTTAATACAAGGACATTCTCAAGACAAGTAAAAAAATATATTTGGCCTGCTCTCATCCATCATCATACATCATTGACAGGTATGGCAAAAGTTAATTTTGGGAAGGAAATAATTGAACAGTGGCTGTTCTGAGCAGAACTTTATCAGACTCTCCTTATTGATTTAATTTTCTTTTTATGTTGGATGGGATGCCAGCAGTAGTTCCCCTACCAAGTACTGCTGGCATCCTTTTTCTTATATATATATATTAACCTGGAACCTTGGCCAAAAATTCTAAATCCATCAGGCAGTGGAACAATAAACTAACTTTCATTGTGGTATTTGATGATGGTCAAAATTAAAAAGAGAATAATTGTGATTAAATATATATATATATAATTAAGTTCTTAGCAATGCATATTATTAATCAAAAATTAAGTTTTGATATATTTACGGTAGGAAATTTACAAAATATCTTCATGGAACATGATCTTTACTTAATATCCTAATGATTTTTGGCATAAAAGAAATGTCGATAATTTTGACCCATACAATGTTTTTTTGGCTATTGCTAAAAATGTATCCAAGCGACTTAAGACTGGTTTTGTGGTCCAGGGTCACATATTATAATTGAATATAAAAAATACTAAAATAGCACTGATGGCCCTCAATGCATCTCTTACTTGCAGCCAGATAGTGTAGTTACTGCGTCTACCAGCAGAGGCTAATTACCATGCTAACCAGCCAAACTTTTATACCTTGTTCCAAAGCAAACAATCACATGGCTAACTACTGCATTTCATCTGCTCTGTACTATCCAAACTCTAAAATCATTTCTACAATTTTTCTCTCTCTATCTCTGTGTGTAGTTCCACGCTCTCTCGCAGGTTCAGGCTCAGACTCAGTCTCAAGCTCCCTGCAGTCCGTCTTTGAGCCGACAGCAGCTGTACCAGCAGCAAGTCCAGCTCCAGTTCCAACAGCTGGCTCAGCTCGCCGCACAGGCCCAGGCTCCCCTCAGCACGGCCTTGGCCCAGCGTGACGGCAAGCTCCTGGAGGTGATCGAGAGAAAGCGCTGCCTGTGTAAGGAGATTAAGGCTCATCGTCGGCCGGATAAGAGCTTATGTAAGCAGGACAGTATGCCTATTTTACCTAGCTGGAGGAAAACGCCGGAGCCCCGCAAGACTGGAACACCGCCCTGCCAGAGGCCACAGGCTGTGGTGTGGGACACGGCCATCTGACCGAGGCAGAGAGCAGCAAACAGTGTGTATGGAATATGAAAGGCATGACTGAGAGAGACAGATGGAGTAACAATCTTTTCTTCTTTTTTTCTGTTTTGCGTGTGAAAAGACAAAATGGAAATTTAGGGGAAATGAGAGAAGTGGCCTTTGAGTGAAGAGATTAAAATAAGACTGGAAAGACAAAGCGAGAGCATTTTGCTCAGAGAATAGCATGATTTAGAATAAATCTCTCTGTAGAAGCAGGAGAAAATGTGTTCCACACAATGTTTATGTGCCATACAGATGCAGCAGATGAAACACACACACACACATACACCCTGGAGAGCTACCCGAATCTGAACTCTCTCTGACCTGCTGCGAATATAACCTGTGCTGCTGAGTTTACAACCTTTTTGAAACACACTGGAAACCTTTGGAGCAACGTGACATTCATAATCTGAATATAAACCATTAGTGAGGAGAATAGACATTCTTTTTCCTCCAAGTAATGAAGAAATGATCAAAACTTGATGTATAAAGAATGAAGAGACGCTGAAAGATCATAGTGGAGCTTTTCATCATATCATAAACTGTCTGTGACTTTGGGCTTGTGTGTTTTTACTGACCAGATTTACTCAGTTATGCTGCTGTTTCCTGGGCACCCACTAGACTGATGTTTTTTTTTTACATTCCAGAAGAGTGTCAGAATGTGTGTGTGTGTGTGTGTGTGTGTGTGTGTGTGTGTGTGTGTGTGTGTGTAGATAGATAGATAGATAGATAG